CCAATGCTCAAAACCATACCCAAAAAGTAGATGTTTTCAACACATAATTAAGCGTATTAGGAGGATGGATGTTACAAATACCTCCTCCTTTTGAGGATTTTGTCATCGAAATCATGGTCTCTCAAATAACTCCGGATACTTAGTCTTCATTTCATCTTTGTTCTCCCACGTCCAATTCGGACCACGGTGATGCTTCCATTTAACAAGAACCAAATCTACGATCTTGTTTTGTAGATTAACGGTTCTTTCATTAAGAATGGCCTCGGGTTCTTCTATGTACCTCAATCTTTTATCCAACTTGACCTCGGCCAAAGGAACGGTCTCCTCATGCTTACCCAACCATTTCCTCAGATGGCTAACGTGGAAAACGCCATGAATACCGGAGAGTTTTTCTGGCAGCTCTAAACGATAAGCTTGCTTTCCCACTCGCTCAAGTATCTTGAAGGGTCCAACAAAACGAGGACTTAGCTTACCTTGCTTACCAAATCTCAAAACTCCCTTCCAAGGCGATACTTTCAATATGGCCATATCACCCACGTTGAACTCAATTGGTCGCCTTCGTTTATCCGCATATGATTTTTGTCGATCTTGTGCCGCTTTCATTCTTTCTCGTATAACTCGGATCTTGTCATGAGTAATTTGGATCAGCTCAGGACCGGCCAGAATCTTTTCACCCGTTTCTTGCTAACAAAGAGGAGTAAGACACTTACGTCCGTACAAAGCCTCAAACGGGGCCATTTTAATCGTTGAATGGCAACTATTATTATAAGAAAACTCTACTAATGGCAAGTGGATATCCCAGTTTCCACCGAACTCAAGTATACATGCCCTCAGCATGTCTTCTAATGTCTGAATGGTACGCTCTGACTGGCCATCAGTTTGGGGATGATATGCGGTACTAAGGGCAACTCGCGTTCCCAACTCTCGTTGCATACTCGACCAAAACTTGGAAGTGAACCGAGAATCACGATCAGAGATTACTTTYACCRGTACACCATGTCGTGCAATAACCTCGTCAATGTACAATCGTGCCCATTGATCCATCGAATAAGACTCGCGAACRGGAAGAAAGTGAGCGCTTTTTGTCAATCGGTCTACGATAACCCAAATACTGTCGTGTTGTCTAGATGTCTTTGGCAGTTTTGTCACAAGGTCCATCGTCAACTCTTCCCACTTCCATACCGGAACTTCAAGAGGCTGTAAACTTCCATATGGTTTCTGGTGTTCGGCTTTCACTTGTAGACAAGTGATACACTTTTCAACATATCGGCCAATATCAACTTTCATTCCCGGCCACCAGTATTCGGCACGCAGATCATGATACATCTTTGTACCTCCCGGATGAATAGATAACCGTGATTTATGTGCTTCCTCTAGAATAGCCTCTCGCAAACCCCCAAGTCTTGGTACCCATATTCGGGTTTTAAAGACTTTGAGACCACGATTGTCTTCAGATAAGGAGTCTACATAGCCAACCATACGTTCAGATTTCACGTGGTGTGGCCTTAAAGCCTCGATTTGCCACTTATGAAGATCATCGATAAGAGTAGATTTCATTGACACATGAGTGATAGCATAACAAATACTAGCTACATGTGCCTTCCGACTCAGCGCATCCGCCACTACATTGGCTTTACCTGGATGGTATAGAATTTCACAATCATAATCTTTGATCAACTCCATAGCTCTTTGTTGACGCATATTCAAAGTCTGTTGGTTGAAAATGTACTTCAGACTCTTGTGATCCGTGAATAATTGACATTTCGTCCCATAGAGATAATGACGCCATAATTTCAAGGCAAACACTACCGCCGCCAACTCAAGATCATGAGTGGGGTAGTTCTTTTCATAATCCTTCAACTGTCGGGAGGCATACGCAATCACCTTGCCTCGTTGCATCAACACGCAACCCAGTCCAAACTTCGACGCATCACTATAGACCACAAAGTCATCGTTACCATCGGGTAAGGTGAGGATCGGGGCGTTCGTCAAACAAGCTTTCAAGAGCTGAAAAGCTTTCTCTTGTTCTTCATCCCATACAAACTTCACAGCTTTGCGAGTGAGTGAAGTAAGGGGAACGACAATCTTTGAAAAGTCTTTTATGAATCGTTGGAAATAACCCACTAATCCAAGAAAACTGTGGATCTCTGAGGCATTCTTCGGTTGTTCCCAATTCTGAATTGCCTCAATTTTAAATGGATCGACGGAAATACCCTCATCGGAGATCACATGCCCTAAGAATTGCACCTTTCTGAGCCAGAATTCGCATTTCGAGAACTTGGCATATAATTTCTCCTTTCTTAGCAACTCCAACACCTTGACGGAGATGCGTAGCATGAGCAATTTCTGACTTAGAATACACAAGTATGTCATCAATGAAGACAATGACAGACTTGTCGAGCATAGACCGACATACTCGATTCATCAAATCCATGAATGCAGCCGGAGCATTCGTTAGACCAAATGGCATTACCAAGAACTCATAGTGTCCGTATCGGGTACGGAAATCCGTTTTTGGTACATCTTCATCCCGTACCTTGAGCTGATGGTATCCGGATCTCAAATCGATCTTGGAAAAATAACTTGCTCCCTGCAGTTGATCGAACAAATCGTCGATACGAGGTAACGGGTATTTATTCTTGATTGTTACTTTGTTTAAGTCGCGGTAATCAATACACATGCGAAATGAACCATCTTTCTTCTTTACGAATAACACCGGAGCACCCTAAGGTGAAGTACTCGATCGGATGAAACCTTTATCCAATAACCCCTGTAATTGGCTCATCATTTCCTTCATTTCTGCCGGGGCAAGACGATAGAGTGTCCGTGTAGTAGGTGCAGCACCTGGCACAAGGTCAATCCTGAATTCTACTTGCCTGTCCGGTGGTAGACCAGACAAATCATCAGGAAAGACGTCCTGAAATTCACATACCACGGGTACATCCTTGGCCAACTTGTTTCTTTCTTTAGTGGCATCTAAAACATATGCCATGAAAGAAGTACACCCCTTAGATAAATATCGACGAGTTTTGAGTACAGAAATTACCTTGATGTCACCGACTCCTTTTTCTCCGTACACATAAACATAATCTCCTTCCCTAGCTGGTATTCGAATCATCCGTTGCACACAAATAATATCCGCTCGATTTGCTACTAACCAATCCATACCAATAACCACATCAAAGCCACGAATATCCATAAGGATTAAGTCTATTGAGAAATTTTGATCCTCCAATACTAATGTACAATCTTTGAATACTCTGTCAGCTACTAAAGGGGTTCCACTAGCGGTATCCACAGAAAACGGTCTATCAAAAAGTACAGGAACAGATTCGAGAAAACGAASAAAGGCAWGCGACAHRAAGGAATACGTAGAACCAGAATCAAACAATATACGTGCAGGATGAGAGTTCACGAAAAATATACCAGTGACGAGCTCTGGTTYCTCCCGAGCCTCCTCTGCTRTGATCTGGAATGCTCTAGCTCTTGCTCTTGGTACTTCCTTCTTTTGRGCTRAGGAACCTCCCACTATCGGTTGTCGTACTGAGGCCTTACTATCCTCATGTTGGGCATTTGGACAATTAAGCTGACGATGTCCATAAGCTCCACAAGTATAACATGCTTGATCTCGTCTTGGGCAATTTGTACGAATATGCCCAACTTCACCACAGGAATAACACGAAATTTTGGATGGTTCAGAGAAACATCGTCCCGAGTGCGCCTTGCCACATCGTTGGCATGCGCGAGATGTGTTAGACTGCAATAATTTGTATTAGTCTTACAATTCATATATTCACTTCACTTGTATTCACAATATTATGCCTGCATGGAATACGCTCGAGATGGGGCTCGAGGAGCACTCTGAGACTGACTCCTTCTTGGGATGAAAGATCGATTAGGTCGGTTTGCAGGTACATAAGTTGTTATTTTAGTTCTCTGTCTCTTCGATTCGGGTGGGGATTCACCATAAAGAGAAAGTTCGTGTTCTCGTCGTTTGGCACATTCAACCGCTCTCCGAAAACTTGTAAGATCACGATTTGACACAGATTATTTAATCTCTCTCTTCAGACCTTCAACAAAATGTTCAATCTTGTGTTGTTCAGAGGTAACGAAACGTGAGGCAAGACGTGCCTTCATATTGAACTGTGTCTCATACTGCACCACAGTCAAATCTCCCTGTTTGAGGTCCATGAACTCTTTTTCCAACTGTTTCAGTAAGTCAGGGGGACAATATTGTTCATGGAAGATGGTTTTGAAGCCTTCCCATGTTAAATTATTTCTTTCAGTCTCATTTAGAGACTGGTAGGTTGCGTCCCACCATATCATTGCACTACTGATAAGCATAGCGGTCGCATAGTTAACCTTATCCTCTTCAGCGACTTTGGAGATTCGAAACACTTTTTCGGTGTTCAGTAGCCATTCAATAGCTACAATTGGATCTGAAACCCCCTTAAATTCAGTTGCTCCACTAGCTTTGAATGTTTTAAACRAAGTTTGGGTGGACTTAGGTTGAGAAACGGCACCCGCATCAAGCTGTTTCCCCTTTTCAGTATCCTCCTTTCGATGTTCATTAAGAGCTTGCCGCACAAAATCAGTAACCCGCTTCATCAGTCGTTCGCCACGAGGAGATAAAGGGGCATCCTCCTCGAAAAGTGGGCCAGTTTCCAAATGAACGTGTGAGGTTTCGACACCCTCATTTAAATTCGGGTTATGCCCACCAACATCCGGGTTTGTTGGTGAATGACTTGCATGATCATCATGAGCAGACATCGTTCTGGATATGACAAAAAGAAAAGCTAACATATTAAATAACCTACTAATAAACGCTCATTAACCCACTTAGATCTTTCCTATGGTCCGTATCCCGTATAAATCAAACTTAGTTACTATACAATCTCATTGCCCTAGTTTAAGTCCAGGTACCATTTCTGGTACCTAGTTCACTTAAACCGTTGCTCTGATACCATATTTGTAACCCACCTGTTACCGATCCACATTTAATGGATAAATCTAAAGCTAAATTTCAAGTTCAACCTCAACGAAATACGGGATACATGTATATATATACCATCAAAAGATAAAATTTAGATCAACTTTTACATCAAAAGGTCCGAAAGTATTTGTCAAAAAAAAACATCAACCCTAAAAGAGTGAAAATTTCTATTCAAAAGCATAGACTACTGTAAACCAAAATATGACGGTCCTTGATTCCAACATGAACTATTAGCGATCTACAACTTTCTCTTTGCTCTTAGCTTCTTTTCCTGAAAGGTTTAC